AACAAGACAAGAGAGCTTATACCATCCCATCAAATGTCCTGTCTATTCTTGAAAACCTCCAGTGATGGAGCACCCACAATTTCAGGAGGCAAGCTGTTCCATTGATTAATTGTCTCACTTGTCAGGAAATTTGTCCTTAGTTCTAGGTTAGATCTCTCTCTAACAAGCTTCCATCCCCTTTTTTGTCTTGCCTTCTGTTGCTTTGGAGAATAAGTCGATCCCTTCTTCTCTGTGACAGCCTCTCAAGTAAGGGAAGACAGCTATCATGTCACCTTTAATCCTTCTCTTTGATAGGCCAGATATGCTCCCGAAATCGTTCATATGATTTAGCCTCCTAGACCTTTTATCATCCCTTGTTGCTCTTCTCTGCACACTTTCTAGGATCTCAGCATTTTTAAAAATATTGTGCTGACCCGAATGGACCCAGTATTCCGAGTGTTGCCCCATTAGTGTGACCTAGAGCAGTATTATCACTTTTGATCTTGATTCTGTTCCTCTGTTAATGTAATGCAGGACTGCATTAGCCTTTTTGGCAGCTGCAGCACACTCCTGGCTCATAGTTCAGTGGTGATCCACTAGAACATCTAGATCCCTCTCACAGTTACTACAGTTGAGTCAGGTACTGCCTATTCTGTACTTTGTCTTTGGTTTTTCCTACCTAAGTATAAGATTTTACTTTTCTCACCACTCAGCTGCGTCTTGGATAGGGCCCAAAGCTCAAGTCTGTCAAGATCCTTTTGAATCTTGAGTCTTATCTTCCAGAGTGTTAGCAATCTGTTCCAGTTTGGTGTCATCTGCTAATTTGATGAGTTCCTCTTCTATCCCTTTATTTAGATCATCTATGAAGAATTTGAAGAGTTCTTGGTCCAAGACAGAACTTTGGGGTAAACTACTGCATGCTTCCCTCCATGTAGAGGTAGTTCCATTGAGGACTACACTTTGAGTGCAGTTGGTCAGCCAGTTACGAATCTCATCTGGTGGTGATGCTGTCTATTCCAATTACCGGTACTTCAATTACTTTTCTTTTTTTCTCAAGGAAAGTAAGACTCTTTGCCTCAATATTTCTTAATGAGGAACTTTCGATACATTCAAGGTGTATCGAATTCAATAGCCTTTTCTATTTCTGCTTGTCTCCTTTCGTTAGCCTTGGAAATATATGACGTAATTTGGGAGCTGACAGGGAAAAGAAACCAAGAGCAGATGGAATCATATTAGGCCTACATATAAAAATTGGATGTTAAGAGGTGGAAAGGATTATTTTACTAAGGGAATCGGAGGAAATACCAATATTACACAGAGGGAAATAAGATCTGGTTCCTGTGTTTTAGTTTTAATTAAAATGGAAGGTTTATGCCAGTCTAGATATAAAACACTTGTTCAGTCACCCTGAAAGTAAGGCTGAACATAGGATTTCTGAGGTGCTGCTTTTCCCCCCTGTACATACTTCGGGGTGTCCAGTTAACTGAGATCTTTTGATGAAGCAATTTTAAAATTAAATCCGGAGAAGCAGATTTAACATTTTTAAGACCCACAACCATTCATATTTCATTCTTTAATTCATAAGCCAGCGATGTGCTTAATATTTCCTTTATTCTCTTGCTGTTTGATACAAAAAGGTTGTGTGTTTAATTTAAAACACTGACATCATCAAATAAATTAACATCTCAGGTTTCTCAGACTGAACCAAAGCATCCAGTCTATACTGAGGCATTAAAACATGCTTGAGTTGATTATATTTGCGGCTGTTGTGAATTAGGATGACAAGATTCCATTCAAAGTCAAGAAAAGTCTTTAAAATAGTTATTACAAAGTAATTGCCTTAAGGTACATATTCCAGATTCTACTCACAGCTTCCAATAGAATATTTGGCCCCTTATTTTTTTAAAAAGAGATAAAGTTAAATATTCATGAGACTCAACATAAAATTCCACTTTATGACTAACAAGGCTAAAATATGTTTGACTGCTTGTAAACCTTTTTATTATATATCAACCCTAGTAATTACTATAATCTTAAGGGAATACAGAAAAACTTTCCAAAAGAGTCCCTAGTGATTAATGTTCTATAGATTAATAGCAATAGCACTTAGACTTGTATATCACTTCACAGTGCTTTATAGCCATCTCTAAGCGGTTTACAGAGTCAGCGCATTGCCCCCAACAATCTGGATCCTCATTTTACCAACCTTGGAAAGATGGAAGGCTGAGTCAACCTTGAGCCAGTGAGATTTGAACTACCAAAGTGCAGTCAGTCAGCAGAAGTAGCCTGCAGTACTGCACTCTAACCACTGCACCACCATGACCCTTAATCCTTACTTAGTGACCACAGTTGAAAATAGCAGTTTCATTAACAATTAACCAGTGGAATGGCTTGTCTTCAGAAGTTGTGAATCCTCCATTATCAGAGGTTGGAAAGCCTCTTGTCTGACATGGCATAGGGTCTCCTACTTGAGCGAGAAGATCTCCATGGTCCCAACCCTGTTATTTTGGTCTGTTGTCTTGTGTTTCCCAGCCTTGGGAGACTGTTAGGCTGAATGCGGCCTTCTTCAGCCTTGTGATTGTCACTGCATGAACTTACTTTTGAGAACCTGGCAAAAACCAAACTCCCCGTCCTACAACAGTCATTTCTATTTACGGCTTCTTCCAAATGTAGACTTCCAGAAAAGGAAGCCGAACGTTCCATTCCCAAAGAGATTCCATTCTGGAGGAACATGGTAGATTTACTGGCACTAAGCTCAGGATAGTATAGATAATCCTTGACTCACAACCATTCCTTTAGTAGTACGAAGTTACAGTGGCACTGGAAAAAAAGTGACCTCTGACCAGTTTTCACACTTACAAGCTTTGCAGTATTCTCACTGTCACAGGGTAATAAGGACCCTTGGCAGCTGGCTCATACCTATGACAATTGCAGTGTCCAAGGGTCATGTGATCATTTTTTGTGACCTGACAAGCAGGAAGCCATGTTACTAACTTAACAACTGCTGTGATTCACTTAACTGTGGCAAGAAAGGTCATAAAACTAACAACTGTCTTGATTAGCAACAGAAGTTTGAGGCTCAGTCGTGGTTGTAGGTAGAAGGTTACCTATATCTAAAGTCAGAGTAGATCAGAAAATCCCCAGATTAGATCCTTTCTGATTTAGACTTGACTGAAACAAGACAGGTGGGTTACGACCATAATGGAGCCTATCCATCCTGGTCATAACTTGTGATGGTCATAAAATGTTGATCACATGACCAACCCGATTTTATGACCTGTTTTGTGGCTGTTGTTAAGCAAATCCATGGTCATTAAGGAGACTGTGGTCATTAAAGCAAACCAGTGGTTTGCTGTGGGCACAGTTTTGTTAGAAACCAAAAGTAAATGTGGCAAAACCACTGTAAACATGGTTATGTGATCATGGGACACTACAAATGACCATGAATAAAATTTGGTTGCTGAGCACCCAAAATACGGTCACTTGACCACAGAAGTACCAACTGTTAGAACTTTGAATCTGGGTTCTAGGTACAGGTAGTCCTCAACTTATGACCACAATTGAACCCCAAACTTTCTGTTACTAAGTGAGACATTTGTTAAATGAATTTTGGCCCATTTTATGACTTTTCTTGCCACAATTGTTAAGTGAATCACTGTTAAGTTTCTGACAAAGTTGGCTTCCCCATTGACTTTGCTTGCCAGAAGGTCACAAAAGGGGACCACACGACCCCAGGGACATTGCAACTTGTCATAAATATGAGTCAGAATTTAGCATCTGAATTTTGATCATGTGACCATGGGGGATGGTGCAACAGTCGTAAGTGTGAAAAACAGTCACAAGTCACTTTTTTCAGGGCTGTTGTAACTTCCAGCGGTCACTAAATGAACTGTTGTAACTTGAGGGCTACTAGTAATCTCCCAGGTAGGTCCATTAGAATTTCAGGTGGTCCCTAATGGTCATAAGACTACTTGTATCAACATTTCAAGGCTAAAATTGACCAGGCTTCTAGAGGTATCATAATTTATTTCACTGAAGTTGAAATTCTCTAGAATTAATTTTACAGAGCATCAACCATTTTTTCTAGTGAAACCAATATTCTGGGATATGATAGATAGATAAGCTCTGAAGCACACATTGGTTGAGACCAACCAAGCCGAAAACAGTTTGGTCTAGTGGTTAAGGCACCAGGCTAGAAAGCTAAGAGGCTATGAGTTCAAGTCCTGCCATAGCCATGAAAGCTAGCTGGATGATCTTGGGCCAGTCTCTCAGCCCAACCTACCTCACAGGGTTGTTGTGGTGAAAATAGGAGGAGGAAGGATACATTCGCCACTTATTTATAAAAATTATTAATAAAGGCTGGATACAAATAAATAAAAAGACCTATCCATTACTAGTTGGTGCCCACATTTCTTTCTTTCTAATTGCTTTCCTGTGCAGCAGGCTGAAAGTAAAAGAATGCTCCTTATTAGAGACTGAACTTCTTACCTTTGGAGCCCTGGTGAAATTAGCCTGAGCACTACCTGGAATTAGGTCAAGCCTTACTTGTTCCCCCTGGGATTGTGTGTTGCTCACCTATGATTTATCACACTGTCTTTTCCTTGTCAACTTACAGGAATGCCTTAACAGTGAAACACCATCATGTGTCCCCTGGCATATAAACTGCATTGTCTTTTATATTTTCTTGTCTGAACTTTCTTCACACATCATTTTATGACACGATATATTTGTGTAATTTAAATGAGTCTTTTCTGCTTCTCTACTTAAAACGGCAACAATAATAGAAGGAATATTTTTAAACCATCTGCTCCAGTGCAGAGAAGAGTGGAAAATATCTAGGTCAGCTGTTTGCAAGAACCGTAGGAAAAAGAAAGGGTTTCAAATCTTGCTTGAAAACTAAATCAAGGTAGCATTAGACCAGCTTCAGAGAGCTATCCATGCTGCAATAGACTATGGTCTAATAGTAACTGGGTTTAGCTTTCGAGCAAGCTTTGAAACTCTTTTTCCTGTTGCTTTTGCAGAATGACTGCTTGCCATGCTGTGGCCCAGAGTGACTTCTTTGCGTGCCATGACTGTGGAGCTGCAAGAAGTGAGCCACAGTGTGGCACGAAGACCTTCACAGTGTGAAGTCCAGCCCCTGCTGAGCACTACTGCACAAAGACACAGATACCACAATCCAGTCCCAGCCACAGTATCCCTCATCAGTCTGCAAACCACTGCCCCAGTTGACCTGTGCTGGAACCTGTGGACTTCCTTGCTCCTGCTGTTGATGAGGCATGTCCACCCTGGTCCTTGCTGAGGCAGCTGCTGACCATGTGAGGCCATCTTCCTCAGGTCTCACAAGGAAATCATATACAACCCGAGAGGAAAGAAACCTCAGTGAAGCCAACAGCTGTTTGAGTAAGGCCTGACTGGCATAGCTGGTCAACAGTGTGAACAAAAAAAATGTCAAAGAACAGTTAGGGCAGGAAGTGCAGGGTGTGGGTCAAAACATAAATGTGGGAAAGAGAGAGATGAGTGGAGCAGATAAAGTCGCCCTTTGCGGTTTACTCATGGACAGGCTACTAAGTGCCTGAATTTTGATCACATGACTGCAGAGACACTGCTGTGGCCATGAATGTCCGTAAGTCCATTCAGCACCGCTATAACTTTGAATAGCCTCTGAACAAATGGGCACAAGACGAGGATAACCTGTACCTAGTAACCTTTTTGTTAAACCTTAGTGCAGGGGTATCCAACCTTGGCATCTTTAAGACTTGTGGACTTCAGCTTCCAGAATACCCCAGCCAGCATGTGTGTTAGTGTCAGCCAAACCTGTTAAGATTGTACCTCTCCTCATTTTCCACAATAAAAATACATCTACTGGTGATGGTGACTGTAATCCAGCTCATTTGAACTTATCCATATTCTCTCACTCACTACAGTGGTGCTGTCTTGAAGCTGTATTAATTGAAACGGGAGAACTGAATAGTGTTTGCCTTTACAAGTTATCAAAACTTCTTACAAAGTTACCATTTCAAGGAAAAAAATACAATAGGTAATTGTTTCCCATGAGTCAATTTAATAAGTCTGTTTTATTTTTTTGTCTTAGAAGAAAAACGTTTGTTATTCCCAGCCATATTTCCACAAGCAATAAGAGCAAGGAAATAAAAGGTGTTGTAGTAGATTGGAACATTCCTGCAATTACAACTCTACAAAAGGAAATAAAAGGATAGGGAAAGTGACCATGAGGCTGCTGCAGTGGTCATAAGTGTGAAAAACGGTCATAGGTTGTAGTGGTGTAGTGATTAGAATGCAGTATTGCACGCTGACTCTGCCCACTGTCTGGAGTTTGATCCTGACCGGCTCAAGGTTGACTTGTCCTTCCGAGGTCAGTAAAATGAGGACCCAGATTGTTGGGGACAATCGGCTGATTCTGTAAACCGCTTAGAGAGGGCTAGAAAGCACTATGAAGCAGTGTATAAGTCTAAAAGATAGTGCTTTAAGTCACTTTTTTTCAGTGCCATTGTAACTTCAAATGGTCACTTAATGAATAGTGGTAACTTGAGGATTCCCTGAAGTTGGCAATAAAAGATAATGAATTACTTTAAATCACAATCCTAATTTAAGTACCAGTAAAGCCAACAACAATTGGTGTTTTTAGGTGAAGGACAAACCCTTGGCTGACATTCTGAGAGGATCTTAAATATTTAACTAGAGAAAAAAATACTTAACACTTCTGTTTAATGATAACAAAAGTCCTGACAGGGAATTTAATGCAGTGTTCACATGAATGCTTCCATTTTTCTTAGGAATTATTCAGTCCAAGACTTGCAGAAATCTGCATTATTCTTATCCTATTGAAGCAAAGGGAAACAATCCTTATTTTACAATCACAGTTCAATAGCTTGGACTCCAAGATATTGTTTTACTGTGAACTCTATTCTTTTATTGCAGTACAACATGAAGTTCTTTTGAAGCAGAACAAACTACATAAGCCCAACTTCGTTTGCAAGTTTTAACTTCAAAATATTTGTAGTTAATGCCTTACTTTATTAGAAAAGCTGTCCAGGTGGTGGTGTATAAAAGACAAAGGTGAACAAAAAGAACTTAAATTTGTCTCCAAATCTTTTGATTATCAGGCCTCCTTTGTCACTTACTGCTTCTTCATTTTGAATTGAAATATAGGCTGAAACTTTTTGTTTTTATTTCTTCAGCCTCTTAATGGAAGTTTGCAATTTAAAAACTTCTGAAGAAGCCAAGAGAGTTAAAATTCTAGAGTTCAGAAGGTGGAAAGGAAAATAAGCTCTGTACAAGACAATGATAATTCAGTATTCTCAAATTTAAAAACACTTAAAATAGTGTTTTTGGGGAGCAGCATTGCTCCGCCAGACATAAAAACCTGCATCACACAATATTGAAATTGCAATGAAATGCCAAGTTGAGGCTAAGCAATGTTATAGATCTGTGATTATTCAGAGATTCAATTTTAAGAGTAAAAAAATAAAGGTTAAATTCACACAAATGGCAGCAGGAAGCCTCCCCCTCCGAATAATGTATTTGATCTTATATTCATACAGTGTAAGGAAATGCAGGCAGGCTTTCATTTCTTTTCTTTTTTATATTTTTTTTTACATTTTAAAAACATCCCTTTCCATGAACAACGTGGTTCCAGGTTTTTACACTTCCAATACAAACATGACCTTTTATCTTTCACATTCAATTCTATATCATATCATTACTTCCGTTTTACAATAAATTTTCTCCAGTATTCTTATTTTCTTTACACTTACTAAATCCATTTTCAATTTATATCTTAACTTAATTCCTTTTTCTTTAAATATACTCATATTTTATAGTCTAACATTCTTATTTTTATTCTAAATTCATTATTCCTTTATACTTTTATCTGTTATATTTGCAATTTTATCACATACTTTTGTTTCATTCAGTAAATTTCAACTTAAATCTATTAATTCCAAAATTTTCCCCCTTTAATTACTAATTAGAGTGTGCCATCCTTTTATACATCCCTCAATTATTCCCCTTTAATCCATAATCAAAATTTATAATATAATCACTACATAATTATCACATTCTAGTTTAATAACAATGATCTCCTAACTACTATATGTCACGTGTGCATATATATATTTTAAGCAAGATTCCGCATGATATTTTTTTACACAAAACGTAATCACTAAACAGATAGTAACACTGGTTGAATCCCACCCCTGGCCTTACTTCCAGTCCTGCAGGATTCTCCTTACATGCTCTGAATTGGGAAGTCAGCTGCCAAGCTGCAAATGGGGTGGTAGTTGAATTCAAAATGTGCCCATCGAGACCCTATATCGTTTCAGACAGATGGCTACCCAGTCTCTTCTTAAAAACCTCCAGTAATGAAGCACCCACAATTTCTGAAGGGAAGCCAGTTGATTTTTTTTTTCACTTTTAAGTTTCTCCTTCATTCCAGATTGCTTTTCACCTTTATTAGTTTCCATCTGTTGCTTCTAGCCTTGCCTTTAAGTGCTTTGGAGAATAGATGAGCCCCCTCTTCTTTGTGGCAGCCCCTCAAATACTGGAAGACAGCTATCATGTTACCCCTTCCTTCTTTTCTCTAGATTGGTCATATCCAGTTCCTGCAACTATTCTTCATAGGTTTTTGTCTCCAGGCCTTTAATCATTTTCCTTGCTCTTCTTTGCACTTTTTCCAAAGTCTTGACATCTTTTTTGTAGTGTGGTGACGTGTCTGAGGAGGTGCAGACACATAATAGCCCACCGCGACTAGCATGGGAAATACAAATCGAATTGATTGGGTAACAGCATGGCAGGCAACCGCTATATAAGGGCTGCCCGCCAGCCGTTACCATTGTTGAGTTGTAGTTGTACTTACCTGATAAACCTGAGTTGTGGATCCCTGGCTCTTGAGTTTTCATTCCGGCTGTATCCAACAATGACAAAAACTGGTTGCCGTATTCCAGATGTGGTCTTACTAAGGCTTTATAAAATGGTACTAATACTTAACATGGTTTTGATTCTATGCCTCTGTTTATACAACCAAGAACTGTATTAGCTTTTTTGGATGCTGCCACACATTTCTGGCGCATATTTAAGTGGTCTCCGAGTGGCAGTGCAAATGCCTCCTTCATATATGCTTTTCAAATTCTATTAGAAATGTCATTTTCCACAGGAAACTGAAGCAGTGAATGCATGTGTTTGAAGAAACTCAGGTCATAATGCTCTCTTTTGGATTACAGAGTAATTACTGGTACAAATATTATTTAGATTCTTACTGCAATATATTAGTTGTTTTCCATTGTCCTGAAAAGACCTTTTGATCACACATTTCTGATGAACCTTAAAATTGTTTGTTAGCAAATTGGTTTTTCTTTTTCTTTTTAACAGCTATCTTTCATGTTTATACTACTACTTTCTCAAAGGCCTTGTCCAAATGGATTTAAATAAAACGTTGTATTGTTTTCTGTTGGAGCAGATGGTTCTTATTTCTGTGGACATAGCCTTACTAAGCCTTACTAAGGACTTTATACCTTAGCGTAAAATATGGATGTAATATGTGTGCAGTTGTTTGCTGCAATAAAAACAATATGGCTTAACAAATTCCATTACATGTAATTGTCTGGCATACCATTTCATTCAGACACTGCATGTTTTCTGGAAATACATTCAACATCATAAGCTGGAATTAATTTACTTGCTTATAAATGGAAACATCAAATTTACAGAAGATCTCTTTTCAGACTAAAACACAGGAAAATCCTCCACTTATGACTGTAATGGAGCCTGCTTATTATGGTCATAAGTCATGACCGTAGATAGTCATAAAGCAGGTCACCCACATGACCAGATTTTGTTACCTTTTTTTGTAGATGTTGTTAAGTGAATGCAATGATCATTAAGAGAATCTAATGCTGGTTTTTGGCAAAAATATAAACCACAATCACATGACCTTAAGACACAGCCATAAAGATGGACCAGTTGTTGAACACCCAACATGTGGTCAGGTTACTGTGAGGGAGTAAAACCATGTTGGAACTTGGAAATTGAATCATAAGTACTTTTGGGGGGTCCATTAGAACTTTGAACAGTTGTTAAGCAACCAGTCATAAGTTGAGGACTACTTGTATAGTAATTTGCTAGAAATAATGGAGGGCTTTTTTTAAGTCAATGCTATAACATTAGAATTAACTACGATCTGTGTGAAACAGCAGGCATTAAAGTCCATTTACAACGCAATTATTTTGTTTATTTACAGTGTCCCAATGTAATCTCAGTTTGAAAAAGCAGAGAAGCAGAAGCATCTTTAGCACTTTATTCTGCTGCTTTCGTGACTACAATGTTGAGTCTCCATCACCTAATGGCACCAATGTCCTTCCTCCCTTGGTGGAAGAAAATGGCGGGCTTCAAAAGGTAAGGTTTCTCCTTCTTTTTTTGATAGCGTGAGTTTTGGGGGGGAAGGTAGAACCTGATATGGGTAAACCTGCAGTTATAAATTGCCACTTAGTTCATATCAGATGAGGTACCAAACATCTCAGTCCCTATTGAGAATCACTGAGAACAAGACTAATTCATTTTCTCTTGATGGCCTTAAATAACTAGATCTGAAAAACAGTCAAAGTTGGTAGCGTGTCCTTTTCTGAAAACATGTTCCCTTGATCTAGTTATGTAAGACAGCACCCTATCCCAGACCTTCTCTTTATTGTTGACAAGATGGTGGAACTTGAGTGATGATTCTCTGGGGGAAGCAGAAGACACTTTTCAGTTGAGTTTTAAGCTCGGCATAGAATGAAAATGCCACTGGCCACTCGGTTGGGTGACCTTTGCCAGGATCTGAATGAAATTGTAAGCTCTTCATGTTGCCCCTTCATCTCCTTTTGGTGTTTGATACCATCATGGTATCTTTCTCAGTTCTAGAGATGCATTTTTACAGTGGTTCCACTGGGGACCAGGGGTGGTGGCGGGTGGAAGACCTGCCCTGGGGGTGCCCCTTTGCATGGTAGTATAGTTCCATCATTCCTAGTTTTTTATTACTTCCTTGAGACCTCCGAGAGAAATAACCTGTTCATCTGGTTTTCTGGCTACTCCCGTTCTGACTTTGGTTAGAATAGCAATTTCCCTGAAGGATCAAATCCACAGCTTGAGAATTTATTTGGGATTGACAGCTATACTGCATTTGCCATAGATGTCACTGCTAGAGCATGTATGCTAGCTATAATGTCTATGGAGATTCTCAGTCATCCAGGTCATGGTTGTCCCAAATGTACTTTTTTCAAGAGGCAACTCAGTGGTGGGATTCAAAACATTTTACCACTGGTTCGGTGGGTGTGGCTTGATGGGTGCACTTTGCACGTGTGCACACACTTTGCGTGCATGTGTGTGCCAAAAGCGCACTTTACGCAGGCGCCAGAGACGTTTGAGCAGGTGCAGAGGCATTCTAACTCACCTCCTGCAGGCCTGCACTCTCCCGGTCGCTTCAGCAGCTGCCGCGCAGCACTCTTCTGTGCCATGCAAAGCAGCTACGCTTCAGTGGAGCAGGGGATAAAGGTGAGTATGGGAGCCCAGGTGGGTCCAACAGCAGCACGGTGGAGAGAACTGGTTCGGTCTCTGCTGCTCATCGCCGCTACCGGCTTGGCAGAACTGGGCTGAACCGGTAAAATACCACCACTGAATTGGACTTTCTTTGTTTTTCCTTGGAGACATTTCGCTTCTCATCCAGCTCTGACTAAATGGTGGAGGATGAAAGTGGCCTCAACGACTCTCATAAAGAGTATTAATGACCAGATGACTACAAGGAATATAAATCCTTCCATCCTCCACCATTCAGTCAGAACTGAAGAAGCTCCTTGGATGAGAAGTGAAATATCTTCAAGGAAAAGCAGAAGTCCTGCTGCCTTTTGAAAAAGCATCTTTGGGTATGACCCTATCTGCTACCGGAAGTCCTAACTCATTCCTTCCTCACTACTAGGTTTACTGTAGCACAGGGGCTGCTCTTGAAAACTATGTAGAAATTGCAGCTGTTGCAAAACACAGCTTCCCACGTGCTTGTGGATAAGAGCTGTTCCAGCTTTATTACACTTGTATTGTGGGTGCTGTATTAACTTCCAGTATATTTCCATGTATAATTTAAATTGCTGGGTTTAACTTTTAAAGCCCTATGTACTCCTACGTACCTTCTGGATTGCTTTCTCCAAGTAAAACTGACCCTTATCTCAAATGAAGATATTTAGTGTTCTCCATTGAAGATAACAGTGCCTCTCCCCAAAATGACCCATATCTCTCTCATCCTGTGGAACAGCATATTCCCAGAAACCTAGTTGCTACCTCTGCTAGCCTCCTTCCAGAAGGTGGCTAAGAGAATCTCTCTGAAGGACTTTGAGTTATGTTATAATTTGCTGCCATATATATTAAGGTTATTGTTTTATTGTCCTGCTGAGATTGGTTGCTTTATTAATTTTAAGTTGAAATTGATTTTATTGTATTCTTGGTTTTATTTCCATTGTAAACTACCGTGAGGAAAATTGATTCAGTGGTACATAAAGATAATGACTATGTTTTTACCCTATCTGTATCTGTCTATTAAAATAAGCAGTCATCACTTTGAAATAGGTAATCCGGTTGTCCCTGAATTCAGTAATATATCATTGTATAAATGTATTAAATCATACAAGTAAAATCTGTTGATTTGAAATACAAGGATTGGCTAAAGTGGATGTTCTCTTAAGGATGACTATAACTGGATTCAAGTTACTCTATGATAAGATGGGCAGCCAGTAAATTTGATAAATAAATAAATAAAAGAAAAATTTAAGCTTAGTTAATGAACCTAAGGAAAGGTTAAAATTTCATTGCTAATTACAATAATAATTTATAGATAAATTTTGTTCTGGTATTGATATAATGCTATATAAGCAGCAGCGCAAAACTGTCCAGCATGGCAATATCACCACATTAAGGCTGGGAAAAAAGGCTTACACTTCTTTTTTGCAACATCTGTTGAAAATATCAAAAATTCTATTAACAGTTCCTTTGCAGCTCCTTGATAATTTCTGATGACACAATATTTACTTCTCTTAATTTAACCAATTTCTTAAATTCTTTTTCGAGTTTTAGTTGGAACACGTTTATTTATTAAATCTGACACATCTGTTTATTTTATGTTCTACTGTTTTGAAATATTACACTCTTTACAACGATTTTTTCCCCATTTTCCCCTCAGGGTGACCAGATGCAGGTCATTCCCATTCCAAGTGTATGTATTTTTTTTATTCTTTTTATGTTCAGTTTCTTTTAATGTTCTTGATTTGGGCTCAGATAGTCTATATTTGTGTGTGTATTGCATGCCGACAAGATCTTACAAATGTGAAACTATAGCTGGGCACATCACAAAACCATATCTTAGTAACCACAACCCACAGAAAGCATAAATTCCACTATTTCTTGATTCACTGTCTCAAGCTAGCAATACTTGGGTGCATGGTAGGTTTTTGTGAAACAACCATTTTTATCATCTGCTCAACACATACACACACACACCCAAAAAGAAAGTGAAATAGCAAAATTTACTTACTTTCTTTTCCCCTTGTAATCACTGGAGCATGTTTAAAAAGTAAAGGTTTTCACTCCCACTCATTCCTGACATTTTTAATCCTCTGTGTCAGTGTTTCTCAACCTTGGCCACTTTAAGATGTGTGGACTTCAACTCCCAGAATTCCCCAGTCTGAACTACCAATTGGGGTGGGAAGTGGGGATAGAGAAATAGTGGAATGATAATAACAATTAAAATCCTAGAGGGGCCTTATTGGTGGATGTAACCTCGATGTTGGAAGAACGGTTGATACCACCACATTTATAAGACATGCTTAATTGGGCATCATTACTTTTAGCCCCATTCAAAGTGAGGTCAGTTAATGTCGTTTTCCACACAGCTCCTCCTCTCCCCCTCCATCAGGGTGATCAAATACGTCTCACACATCATAAACAACAGGTCTGAAACCACCTTTATTTTTATTTATTTTTGCCATTGTAGTTGTTAAGTCTCGTGCTGTTTTTATGGTATTCGTATTGTTCTTTGTATTTAAATGTTTAAAGCAATTGTAAACCACTCAGAGTCCCAGGGAATTGAGCAGCATGTGTACTTAGTTTTATGTATAAAAGTCTGACTCACAGACGAACACAATACAGAAGCCTGATGATGGCAGATGAGATTCTGCCGAAACCCGAACAAAGCTGAATACCATACACACACACACACACACACACACATGGCACCAATAATACATTCTGGGCATCTTGCAAAGACAATTTGATTTAGCTTCCTCACGCACTGTTTGCAGAAATAAAAGTATTGTATCAAACACTCTATAGTTCCCTGCATCATCCAACTTTTGAATGTCACAGAGAGGGAGATGGGGGTTAACATTACTACAAATATAACAGTTCATTTAGTGACTGTTCAATGTTACAGAGGGACTGAAAAATATGACTTATGACCATTTTTCACAGTTACCACCTTCATAGCTCCCCCAAGATCATGTGATCAAAATTCAGACGCTTGGCAACTGATTCACATTTATGACAGTTGCAGTATCTGGGATCACGTGATCCCCTTTTGTGATCTACTGACAAGCAAACAGGGAAACCAAATTCACTCAACCACAGTCTTACTAATTGAACAACTTCACTGATTCACATAACTGTGGCAAGAAGGGTCGTAAAATGGGGCAAAACTCACTTAACAAATGTCTCACTTAACAACAGAAATTTGGGGCTCGACTGTGGTCATAAGCGGAGGACTACCTGTACATAAGTATAATAATGGGAATATGCAGTCCGCATCTATGCTTATTAAAGGGATACTTATTCATCAGATTTGCCTCGAGTTCAAGGTGGCATTAAAAAAAATATCATTTTTTCCCCTTCACCACCGCAACCTTGCAAAGTAGGTTAGGCTGAGAGAGAAAGTGGGTGGGTGGCCCATAATCACACAGGAGCTTCTGGGGTTAGAATGGATTAGAATTTGGATCATACCAGGATCAACCCAGGCTCTTAAACATTACATCATATGCTAGCTCTCTGTGTGATATGCTTTAACCTGCATGTCATTTTAATTCCATGATGTCTAATGCAGCAATTTATGTTTTCATGGATTTCATTCCCAGCACAAAAATAGTCACTCCAGAGAAAAAAGGGCAAGTAACCCTCTTGCAAAATCATGAGAAAGCCATGGGAAGGTTAGGAAAGTGATCAGTAGAACAGTCAATCAGAATAGAACTGGAAGGGACCTTGCAGGTCTTCTAGTCCAACCCTGCTCAAGCCACGAATCTTTATACCATTTGAGACAAGTGGCTGTTCAATCTTCTTAAAGACCTCCAGTGATGGAGCACCCACAACTTCTGCATGCAATCGTTCCACTGATTAATTGTTCTTAATTCCAGGTTGCTTTTCTCCTTGATTAGTTTCAATCTGTTGCTTCTTGTCCTGCCTTCAGGTGCTTTGGAAAATATGTTGACCCCCGCCTCTTTGTGGCAACCCCTCAAATACATGTCACCCCTTCCTTCTTTTCTCTAGAGTAGCCATGTCCAATTCCTACAACTGCTCTTCCTATGTTTTTGTCTCCAGGACTTCAGTCATCTTAGTTGCTCTTCTCTGCATTTTTTTCCAAAGTCTCAACATCTTTTTTGCAGTGTGGTGAACAAAACTGGATGCAGTATTCCAGGTGCAGTCTTACGAGGAATTTATAAAGCAGTACTAATACTTCATGTGATTTTGTTTCTATGCCTCTGTTTATACTTCTCATTTCATCAGCTGATCTCATTTGTGTGTTCCTCTCTTTAAAAGTCAAAGGGTTTTTACAGGATAAAGAAGTCTGTTATATCCAGCAATTTTAGGGACTGACCGATGAGATGCAAAAACAGGAATAAAAATATTGCTCAGAGAAGTCTGCTGTACTAGTTTATTGCTAGTCTGTTGCCCAAGACTACAAATAACAGAGTTGGGAAAGACCTTGGAGGTCTTCTAGTCCAACCCCCTGCTTAGGCAGGAAGCCCTATGACAAGTGGTTGTCCAATCTCTTGTTAAAAACCTCCAGTGTTGCAGCACCCACAATTTCTAGTGGCCAGCTGTTCCACTGCTTAATTATCCTTCCTGTTAGGAAGTTTCTCCTTAATTCCAGGTTGCTTCTCTCCTTGATCAGTTTCTACCCATTGCTTCTTGTCCTGCCCTCTGGTGCTTTGGAGAATAATTTGACCCCCTCTTCTTTGGGGCAGCTCCTGAGATATTGAAACACTGCTATCATGTCACCCTTAATCCTTCTTTTCATCAAACTAGACTTACCGAATGTAATCATTCGTATAATTATTCGGTTTAGTTTAGTTTACTTTATTGTCATTGAACCATGTACAACAAAGTTAAATACCATCTTCAGTGTACATTATGACTATGAAAGTAAACACAAACACACATCCTTCACATTCTGTACATTCTACACATTTTATTCTTCAGATGTTTTAGCCTGCAGTCCCCTAATCCTCTTCGTTGCTCTTCTCTTCACTCTTTTCAGAGTCTCAACATCTTTTTTATACCGTGGTGACCAAAACTGGTTGCAGGATTCCAAGTGTGGTCTTACTAAGACATTATAAAGTGGTATTAACACTTCACGGGATCTTGATTCTATCCCTCTGTTTATGCAGCCTAGGACTATATTAATAGATCTTATAGATACTGTAATTACAGGTAATCCTCAAATTATGACCATAATAAACCCTGGCCATCATAGTCATTGTTGTAAAAACAGGTTAGGTTACAGTTTTACAACCTTTTTTGCGGTGGTTAGGCAAATCCGTGGTTCTAAATGAATCAGTGGTTTTCTATGGGTGAAGTTTTTCTGAAAAGCAGAAATAAATGCATTTATGCATTTAAGAAATAAATGCATTTATGCATTTATTACAGTTTTAACAAAACTGTCATAACACATGTTATGTGATTGCAGGATGCCTCAAGCAGCCCTAATGTCACATGACCCTGGGGGCAACTGTCCAACTTTGGATCCAAGTCATAAATACCCCCTAACGTAGGTCAATCAGAACCAGCCATAAGTCAAGGACTACTCCCTAGTCTTTATGTGAAAAATAAAATAAAATAATACAGTCACAAACCTATAGTCCTTGTCAAAATCAGATGTGGCCATTTTTTAAAGAAATGAATAATTTGATGAGATTCTGTATGTTATAGTCCCCACAGGTGATGCCTTTCCCAGATACAAGGTGTTCAATTCTTAAAACTCAGATGATACTTAGAGTTCCTTAAAGGGGTTCCCCCCCCCCCCATTCTATGGCTAATATTACCAACCTACATGATTTCAATTTAGGGGAGTTCCAAGTGTGGACATAGTTTGATCCAGAATATCTCTCTTGATGGTCCCTCCTCCCCACTTTTTCTTTCTGGGGATCTGGTGGGCTTAATGTCCAGAACCATCTGGATTTGATAAAGATTGCTTCATTTGAAGCTAGAAGGATCTTTTAAAAAACAAGAATTGTGGGTTTTCCCAGTCCAGTCTTAAAATAGGGAAACGGGCCAGGACATAACTTACTAAAGTAAAATTCTTGTTTCGTTTTATATTCTGTGTATCTTGTTCTTTTATTTATTTATTTGTTTTTGTTTTCTTTGACATGCAGTATGTTGAGCAGACTATACAGGTGGTCCCCAACTTAGAACGGTTCGTTTAGTGACTTTCGGAGTTACAAAAAAAAAGGACTAAAGTACTAAAAGCACTAAAATATATATATTTTTCACGACCGTTGCAGCATCCCCATGGTCATGTGACTTATATTCAGATGCTTGACAACTGACTCGCATCTATGATGGTTGCAGTGTCCGGGGGGAGGTCACGTGACCCCTTTTGAGACCTTCTGACAAACAAAGTCAACACAGAAGCCAGATTCATTTAACAACCGTGTCACTTACTTAACAACCGCAGTGGTTCACTTAACAAATGGGGCCAAATTGACCTTACCAGATTTCCCATTTAATAGCATAAATTTTGGTGCTCAATTGTGCTCCTAAATTGAGGGCTACCTGTATGTGAGTGGCCAGCTACATTTCTGTGTTTCCTGACCAATTCGTCAGTCTGTACTTCGTTAACTGGATCTCACATGGAGGAAAATTTGTGACAACTGTCTTGGTTCAAGCCTCACATTTGCTTTGCACGGAATTTATTAATCAAGCTGCTGGGTCTCTAAACCTGCTTGGATCCCTGCCTGTAAAATTATTGCTTTGTGATTGGCCACAACTACGCAGAAACCATTTTGTCAATTGTCAATAACGCTCTCTCAAATGAACCCCCTCCCTCCCCTCTGGGGATTGCCAATTCAGTCAAATTGTGTGTGTTGGGGGGGGGGGGTTAAAACCAGTGGTGGGATTCAATTTTTTTTACTATCGGTTCTGTGGGCGTGGCTTGGTGGGCGTGGCAGGGGAAGAATACTGTAAAATCTCCAGACAGAGGTGGTATTTGCTGGTTCTCTGAACTAATCTAAATTTCCGCTACTGGTTTTCCAGAACTGTTCAGAACCTGCTGAATACCCACCTCTGGGTGAAACCCATCATGACTTCAGTCTTAGTATTTTAATCATTTAGAATACAAGTCTGCTAGATTTTTAAAAAAATGCCTTTTCTTGAGACTATCTCAGAAAGATTTTGCTCTTCCATTTCAGACCTCTTCCTTTATTTATCCCAGGGATCTTTCATATTAGACAGAAATGCTGATTTGGGGTAACACAGGTAGTCCTTGACTTACGACCAGAACTGTACTTCAGATTTCTGAGTAAGTTAATTAAGTGAATTTTGCCCCGTTTTACGACCTTTCTGCTGTTAAGTGAATCACGGTGGTTAAGTTAGTCACACGGTTGTTAAGTGAATCTGGCTTCCACATTGTCAGAAAGGTGACCACATGACACCCACACCCAGGACACTGTAACCATCACAAATACAAGTCAGGTGCCAAGCATCTGAATTTTGGTCAGGTGACCATGGGGATGTTGCAATGGTCATAAGTATGAAAAATGACAATAAGTCACTTTTTTCAGTGCTGTTGTAATTTCTAACAGTCACTAAATGAACTGTTGTAAATCGAGGACTACCTGTATCATTGAAATCCGTTATAATCCATGCAAAAAAAATGTGGGTCCAGGTATTTGACTAACAAGGCACAAATAATTTAATTATGACTATATTAGTTTTCCCCGATCATTAGGTTTATCATGGACATTTCTAACATTTTGAAGGTGCTCTTTTTTTCCTCTCTGTTTAGCCATCAGCTAAATACCTCTTGCCAGAAATGACAATATCTGATTATGGGAAGAAATGTGTGGTCATTGATCTTGATGAAACATTAGTGCATAGTTCCTTTAAGGTACGTATACTGTTTAATATTTCTTATAACTTTTTGATTAAATACATGAAAGAGGACAGGCATATCTTATTTGATGTCCTTTCTAGAGCTTAAAATGTCTTTGCTGTCATGGTAACCTCACTCACTCATGGCCATGATATTCTGTAATTTATTGCCATATATATATTTTCTTAAGTTTTCGTGGGTATCTATATGTATGGTATTCAGCTTTGTTCGGGTATTTTCCCACGTCATTATACTTGTGCTTTTAAAGTTGTAGCGACGTTTCGGCAGAATCTCATCTGCCATCATCAGGCTTCTGTATTGTGTTCATCTGTGAGCCAGCCTCCTGTGTTGTAACGACCTGGGTAATGGGCTGTGTGATGACCTGAGTTCTATTGTTGTGGCATCCTGGGTCTTGTGCTGTACTCTCCTGGGTTATTGGCTGTGTTGCAACATCCTGAGGTTTTGTGGTGTAACCTCATGAGTTCTGTGATGTGATATCCTGAGCGGGTGGCTGTGATGTGACGTTCCGGGTTTTGGTTTGGCTCCAAGTTTGAGGTCTGGAAATGTGTTCATGATGTGTGTCCGTTTGCTTGGTTTGGGGGTCAGCAGCTGGTGATGCAGCCGTGGTCTGGTTTCTGGATGGTGGTTGCCCTTTGTCTATGGGATGGGTTTGGGTTTGAGTCTGGTGAGGGAGAATGGTGGTGGTGTCATGTGTTGTTTGGGTCCGGTGTTGGTTTTCATGGCTGGGACTGTTTGTTGATAAGGGCTAGTTTCCAGATGTCTGGTAGGTGGGAGGCATCGCCCCGTTTATTTATGTTATGGGGGTGTTTCTCTATTTCGATGGCTTCCCTGATTATTCTCTTGTTGAAGTGTTCAGTATTGGAGATTAATTTGGTTCCCTCAAAATTAATTTCATGTCCTGTGGCTTTAAGGTGCTGAAAAAGGGAGGAAGTAATTTCTTCTTTTTTGACTGTGTTCTTGTGTTCTGCGATGCGTGCATTTATTCTCCTGTTGGCTTGTCCAATGTATGTGGCTGGGCAATTGTTGCATGATATTTCATAAACTCCTTGGTTTTCTAGCTGGATCTTGTCTTTGAGGTTTCTTAGTATGTTGGCTATTTTTTGGTCAGTGCCGAAGGCAGTCCTGATATTATGTTTGTGGAGAACGACCCAGGAGATTACAGCACAAGACCCAGGATGTCAAAACAATAGAACTCAGAAGGTCATCACACAGCCCATTGCCCAGGTCGTTACAACACAGGAGGCTGATAGACACACAGCCAATACCTCAGCCACACATGTTCTTAAGAAAAAGCCAGCCAATCTGCAAACATCAACTCCATCAACCAATCAAGAAATGACAACACAGCCAACCTCCCCACCAGTATATATAGGGAGATGGCAGCTCCGATCACGCTTTGCTCGCACAAGCACGAAGCCGAAAGCACCAGCCTGAAGATGGCGAGCGGGACATCATCGAAACGTTGCCAAGATGCTCTCAATCTTACACGGGAAAAGACCCAAACACGCCAAGACCTGCATATCTGTACCCATGAAAATCTACAAATATATGTATATGTATATATCTATATATCTATATCTATATCTATATCTATATCTATATCTATATCTATCTATCTATATCTATCTATCTATCTATCTATCTATCTATCTATCTATCTATCTATCTATCTATCTATCTATCTATCTAGGTCTAGGTGTGTTCGGGAATTTTCCCATGTAATCTTACACGGGAAAAGACCCGAACACACCTAGACCTACATACCTGTACCCGTGAAAATCTACGAAAACAAATATGTGTGTGTGTGTGTGTGTGTGTGTGTGTGTGTATGTACAAACAATTGTAAAAGTCTGACTCACAGACGAACACAATACAGAAGCCTGATGATGGCAGATGAGATTCTGCCGAAATGTTGCTACAACTTTAAAAGCACAACTATAATGACGTGGGAAAATACCCGAACAAAGCTGAATAACATACACACACACACACACACACACACACACACGACCGCCTCAAAACTTGTTGCTTTCCCTTAATCAAATGAAAGAAACGTTAATTAAGAATCCAGGCAATATATGTGCATCGGTGTGGATTTCCAAATTGTTTCTTACCAGCTCTTTGCACAGTTCTATGCATGCGCACATCAGTCACTAAATGAACGGTTGTAAATTGAGCACTACCTCTACTTAGATCAGTTTGGCTATCAGTACAGGTACTGGAAAAGTACAGGTAGTCTTCAACTTACAACCGTTCATTTAGTGATCATTTGAAGTTACAATTGCACTGAAAGAAGTGACTTATGACCATTTTTCACAGTTACAACCTTTACAGCAACCCCATGCTCACATGATCAAAATTCAGAGGCTTGGCAAGTGACTCATATTTATGATGGTTGCTGTGTAACGGGACCATGTGATCCCCTTGTGCGACCTTCTGACAAAGTCCAGATTCACTTAACAACCGTGTTACTAACTGAAGAACTGCAATGATTCACTTAAACAACTGCGGCAAAGAAAGGTCGTAAAAAGGGAGAAAGCTAATGTTTCACTGTTCACAACAGAAATTTTGAGCTCAACTGTGGTTGTAAGTCAAGGACTACCTGTATAATATGATCTTTTAGGAAACCTCAGGCCTGATCAGGTACAATTCCATCTCATGTTCCATTTAATCAAAGCATTAACATCTCTTTTTTACCTAAATTCTTCGAGCTGAGCTCAGCTCCGGGGTATTTTATGCCCTGTGGCTTTCTTAGAAACAATACAGAAATGGTTTGCCATTGTCTCCTTCCTTGGTTTTTTTTAAGCTTCCCAGTCTAGCCGGCAACCTTGAACCCCTCAAAATCTCTCTCGTCCCTGTTCTGATCAGATTCTGCATAGTTTCTGAGCTTGGACCAAGGTCAGTCTGGTACTGCCATCTGGTGAGAGGTCTTTATAGTACACACATTAAATGTGGGAGGCAGAGGAATAGTAGAGAGCCAGTTCAGTATTGCAGCCTCCTCTGGTCACAGGGTCCTCATTTAATGACCTACGTGGCCCTCACTTAACAAGAGCAACTAAGACTCCTGGGACTGCCACTGCTATGTAGTGTTAGTCATGTGGGGTTTTTGTTTCCGACTCATGGCCCTGTCATTTAATGACATAGTTTCCCATCCCAGTTACAGGATTGTTAAATGAGGACTACCCATGTACGCTCTGGGTTATGGACCCCAAGCAAGGCTGTTCTGAAACGGCTTTAAGGCCTGGTCTTCCATTGAGAGATATTTTGGTCCAGTGGTTAAGGTACCAGGCTAGAACGCGGGAGATTGAGAGTTCTAGTCCTGTGTAGGCACAAAAGCTGACTAGGAGACTTTGGGCCAATCACCAGGAGACGATGAGTTCTAATCCCGCCTTAGCCATGAAAGTGGGCTGGGTGACTTTGGGCCAATCACCAGGAGACGGTGAGTTCTAATCCCGCCTTAGCCATGAAAGTGGGCTGGGTGACTTTGGGCGAATCACCAGGAGACGGTGAGTTCTAATCCCGCCTTAGCCGTGAAATCCTACTGGTAACTTCGAGCCAATCAGTCTCTCTCTCAGCCCAGTCCACCTCAAAGGATTGTTGTTGTGAGGAAAAGAGTAGGAAGCTGGATATGTTTGCTACCTTGAGTTATTTGTAAACACAATAAAGGCAGGACACAACTAAACAAGTAAGAGAGACAATTTCTTCGGACTTTGGAGAACAACATGTCTGCGAGTAAAACAAATAAGAAAGCAGGGAACATATTAAATGTTTTTCTTTTTTCCACATCTAAGTTCTTACTTCTTAAGATAAGAAAACCTTTGAAAATGACATTCTCCTGTTGGATTCTCAAACGTGTTGCAAACAATTCTTGCTGCATTCAGTTGTACGCAAGTACAGGTAGTTCTCGACTTACCACAGTTCGTTTAGTGACTGTTCAAAGTTACAATAGCACTGACAAAAGTGATCCGCTTTTGCGACCTTCTGACAGGCAAAGTCAATGAGGGAAGCCTGATTCAGTTAACAACCGTGTTGGTAACTGAACAACTGCAGCGATTCACTTAACAACTGTGGCAAGAAAGGTCGCAAAATGGGGGAAAGCTCACCTAACAGCTGCCTCACTTAGCAATGGAAATTTTGGGCACAATTGTGGCCGTAAATTGAGGACTACCTGTACCAGCCTGGGATTGCGTTTTAGACTCGCCTTCTTTTTTAACGGATGAATATTGGAGTTGTTTTAAAAAATCCTCCTGTGGGAAAAGGGTTGCATTCCCCTTTAAAACTCAGGGGGGGAAACCTTTTGAGATGGTTTCCAAAATATTCTTGTGCTCTTAGAGAAAAGGAACACATTCAAAGGCTGCCTGTCTGCCAGCTGCTTTCTTTCTGGACAAATCCCAGGAAGAGCTGATACAATCTGCTCCACACACACACACACACACACACACACACACACACACACACACAC